CTTAGATTATAGAGGAATCATTTTTGAATTTCTCTTAACAAAACTGAATATTATAAGCTGAAAAACAATTACATGATGCAGAGCTTTTGGGTTTGATTGCATTATTATTGTATAGGTGTGGCTTTACTCTGTCCACCCACTATTTTCTCTCTTGTGCAACAGTAGCAGTAGTTTGCGGGGTTTCCTGAGTAGGTGGTATATGGAAACTCTAGGGTCAAAGTCGGCATGGTTGTTGTCTTTGATTGCCAGAGGCGTGCTGAATTTGTTTGGCCTGCGCATAGCTCAGGTATTTGCTTTGCGTCGCTCGTCGCCAAGGGTCTCCATAACCATTAACCAGCCACTTGCATTGTTGCACACGTATCGCATTCCTGAGATCTTATTCACCGCCAGTTTACACAATGTTCCAGTTGTGTGTTTTCATGCCGTGTGGAAACCAAAACACAGTGGTATCAGACTGTAAAATCAACAAACTGCAGGATAATGCAGCATATAAGATCCTGTTTGAATAATTCTTAATACATCTCACTTGTGTTGGTGTGCAGGCGGGTAGTATCTGTATCATCTTCAGAGGATGTGTATTTTTGTCTACCCTCCCTCGTGACAATCATTGGTTAATGTCGGCTTGTGTCAACCAAGGTTATCTCCAGAGATAAAGACAACAGCTACATAATGCAACGTTCAGATCTGAAACCATTGCTGAATACTGAGCAAAGAACAACAACTAACATTGAATAGCCAGGCTAAAACATTTCAGTCCCACAGTTTGTTAATTTTTTTGTAAATATACTGTAGATAAGGCTATTGTGTACTAATCCTTGGGCTCTTACTTTATTTTGAACTGAAATGCAACCTCTAAAATACAAGCTGGGAAAAACCCTTAAAAATGTATTGGTTAAAAACCACTTCACCCTTATGGTTTCTGTCCACTTGTGTGAACAAGTCTCTTGCTGAGCTACAGCTAAATTTCCTCAGTAATGTCAGAAGAGTTTGCTATCTGAAATCATTTTTGTGGACTGTAGATGAAACTTGACATTAACCAGGATTACACACTCATTTCTGATTTATTACAGTTTAATGTTTTGCCTGTTTGGTTGTAATACCACAGAAACATTTCTTTAATCCCCAAAAGTCTGTCTGCAGTTCAATGTCAGAGGACGAGCTCCAGGTTTTGTCTCTTGGTGACATTATACGGATAGTCTTTCTCTCTCTTTTCTCTTGGAGACTGAACTGCTGTAATTACAGGAGTATTATATGTCGCTTATTTTTTTCTTTCCGAGAAGGCTTTAACTTTAAATATGGGTAATTCACTGAGACAGAAACTTGGCAGTCAACTACAGTACATCAGAGTTAACCTAATTAAATCACATAAATTTCAGAAAATTCCTAACATTTTATCTTTCATATAAATGATAACATGATACATCATTCTTTATCTTGAAATCAAATTGAAATGTCTGGCAATGTTATCTACTTATTTGATTAGTTGTTCATGTTGTGGATGTCTGCATTGCCGGTGCCCTTCAATCAAGACCTTGATATTACCGGTGGTCCATTAAGCATGTAAAAATGGATATCATCGGCCCATCAGAGGTCAATTTTTGAGCAAGTTTTACGGTCCAGATGAAAGGTAATGAGGGCCTTGGGGTTAAATAGCTCAGAACTGAACGATTAAGTGATCATCTCTGATGAGAAAGACGATGAGTAACAGTCTAATAGAATCAAGCCAGGGAGCGCAAAATGAGCAAATGTCGTTTTCTAATGGAAAACCATAAAACTAGGATCTATTTAAGAAAAAATACTAGTGAAAGGATTTCAAAGGCATGAGTGGGAGTGTATGTATGTGTTGTACTTCATACTGCTGATGTAAAGAAGCCTGTGAAGCATTTGAGCTTACCTTTAGTAAACATAGTTGTTGGTGAAGTCATGGTTATGGAAAGGATGGAAATGTCGGTTTTGTGGCCATTCAGTCGTGTACCAACCTGTTTTGGACAAATTTATGATAAATGATGGTGCTTAATGAAAAGTCACAGGATCAAAGTTGATCCAGTTCAATCAAAGGGGAACATGAATGTTTTACCAATAACATAACAATCCATCCAATAGTTATGAAGACATTTCATTAAAAAAAATAAACAGAGGTAATGCCAGGACATTATCAAAGTCAGTTTATCCTCTGGGGACCATGAATGTCTGTACAAAATTTCATGGGAATCCATCCAATATTTATTAGATATGTCAGAAGTAGTAGACCGACTGACCAACAAACCAACATTGTCTTTTGTGGAGCCACTTTGCTAGCATGACTAAAAATGCCCAAAGAAAAATTTTAACTATTCAGTAAGTAAAACTATTTAAACATTTGTGATTGTTGTCCACAATTACTCATTTAGCTGACTTACACTTACTAGTTGTGTCAGAAATTGCAAGCCTCTGGAGCAATTAGGGGTTAAGTGTCTTACTTAGGGACACATTGATGGATGTGTCACTTTGGGAATTGAACCACTGGCCTCTCACACCAAAGTATCTGTTTTATCCACTGCGAGCCCTCTCTACACAAGTTTGATGACTTCTGTGTGTTTTAGAAATCTGTGTTTACATTGTTCTAGCCTTTAACAAGCAGCTGAACCACAGTGGCCCTGCAACTACAAACTAATACCAAAAGATAACAAAAATTTAATTTGGGCGAATGTGTATAACATGATGCACAAAACAACTACATTATTTCCAATTTATGGAATGGTGAAGGCATTAAAACCATGGAGTCTTGGGTTCAAATATTGTACTCAGTTTGAACATCATTAGATGACGGAATACTGTCTAAACCTTTTTTCTGTCTCTTTCCTAGGACAAAAGATGCCGAGCCTGTGGTGGGAAAGGAGATTCAGGTTACTGTCTGCAACGAGGAGAAAGTCATCTGTGGAGTAACAAAGCACACAACATGTGCAGATATGATTCAGGCATTACTGGATGATCACAAGTCAGTCCCAGAGAGCAAGCGGCTCCTGCACGGGGAACCAAAAGACTTCTGTCTCGTTGAGCGGTGGAAGGGTTTTGAGAGAGCCTTGCCTCCTCTCACCAGAATCCTGAGACTCTGGTATGCCTGGGGTGACCAGAGACCCGCCATCCAATTTATTCTGGTCAAAACTAGTGATTTTGTTCCTCAGCCCACCAACAAGGGTGGAAAGTCCAAGGGGGCCAAACCAAAGAGATGGGAGCAGGGTCGCGCTCAGTACACTCAGTCTCTGCCGGTTGAGAGGCAAAAGCGAATGGTGAAGAAAGCTTTCCGGAAGCTGGAAAAGATTCATAAGGACAGCAAGAGCTCCCAGGGTGCTGACGAGATCGACAGGATGGTGCAGCTTATTCTCAACCAGGACCACACCATCCGAGAGCAGATCCAAAGCATGAGAGAGCTGGATTTGGAGATCGAGCGGTTTCAGCTACAAGCTCAGAAAGAAGCGGAGTCTGAGAGTTCACTAGCTCTCGCTAGTGGTCAGAGTTTGGAGATGCACAGTGACAAGCAGCTGCACGAGTACCTGTACACAAGTGATGGAGTCGAACAGCTTGAGCTGCAAGTTCAGAGGCACCAGGAGCTTATCCTCCAGTTGTCCCAGAGTATTGACGCTGAGCTAAGGAGGGCTAACTTCCCTCTGAACAGTGAAGAACAGGAAGGAGCTGCGACTGCTTCCTGGATCCCCTTGGAAACAGATGAATCATTCTACACTGCTGAACTCGAAAGGTTGCAGGTTGAACTGAAGCGCAGCCTCTTTACTGGTGTGTCTCTTCACAATCAAACTGCAGAAATAGAAAAGCAGCTGAAGTACTATGGTGCTACGCTAGTCTCCAAGGATCAGGAGTGCTGGCAGCTGGCTGCCCAGCTGAGCTCATTGCAAATTGAGGACAGAGAAGAGGAGGAGACCATTCCTGTCCCTCTGAAAGGTGAGACTCAGTGCAACATCTCACAGACAGTGAAACTCAAACACACCCTGTCCCCTCCAGACATTACAGATACAGACTCAGACACTGGGATTAGCTCCACACACAGTCAAGACTCACTGTCACCATGTCTCGAATTCCCTCCCCCACTGGACACAGACGTCTGAACAACCCAGTTGACCTTATATATAATGTAATGTTAATATAATGTTCTGATTCAGACATAAGCATTGTCTTTTTCTGAAAGATAAATCTCTGGCGATCTTTTATGAAGCATTAAGGTCATTTAAGTGAAATAATAAGTTTATTAATGGAAAATATTTTCATTTATTTATAAAATATTAAAAAAATGCCAAAAGTTATTTGGTTTCAGTTTCTCAGATGTAATGATCTATTGCATTATTTTATTATATTTTCTGAAAATCAGTTTTAGAATGTTGGTCAACAAACAAAAAAAACAATGGGTGTTACCTTGAAATTATAATGGGCATATTTTCTCATATCTGAGGATACAGCTGCTAGTTTTGTTAAATAACCTTCCAGGTTTCTCAAAATCAAAGTGACAATGCTAATATATGCAAGGCACAAAACTGGAGCTACTATGTATGCAAAAACTATAGTAAGCACCAACTATATAGTGTTTTTGACAGCTGGGTTTGTCGACCTTTAAGTGCACATTTTTATCCCAAAAGAAGATAAAGACTATTTCCTTAGCGCAACCATGTCTAAGGTGTACAAATGCCTTCTGTTTAATTTCTTCATAATGGTGAATGTATGCTTCTCTCCCTTCTTAAAGTTCTCAAGCTATTTATCAAGCTACACTTATTTGTACACACTTATGAGTCTATTAACAATGTTTTATATTAAAACAATAGCTATAACTGTTTGTGGATGTAGAATTTAAGATTTGTTAAGACTTTAACAATCCTTCTAACTACACTGTAAATATACTGCTGCACTGTAAATGATTGTTATTATGACACAGGCACAATTTGTAAAGTGAGATTAAATATTTGTTTATTGTGTAATTGTATGTTACAGATGTTATATGACTTTATCCCCTCTGAGGCAATAATGTCTATTTCCCATCAACCTGATCAACACATATTGAGGGCTTAAATAATGCAAAATCTGTGTAAACCATTCCTAAAAACAAAAGCTATGATTAAGTAAAATGTACATTACAATAATAAACACTAATACTGTACATGTCACAAAGAATAACTACTCCGTTGTTGATTTTGTTGGTTCCAAGCATTGATGATTTCATTATTTCCTCCAAGTGGGAGGCATACGGTTTAGCAACAGTGCTGCTGTTCTGGAAGGTGTTAATGCTAAAACCACAAGGACAAAACAACTCAAGGTTCCAAAAACACAGAATTGACTCTTATAGATTCCTCAAAGCCCTGAGTCACCAGAGAGACATGACACAACTCCTACAAAGCAGACTTTCAGTCACTGCAGCATATGATCAGACAAGATGGTCGCCAGGCAAGCACAAACAACAGCGAGCACTCTCCCTTTGTCAAGGTACTGCTGAAAGACTAACACTTTGTACCAGGGGCAGAGCAGGGCTGGCTGCTGGAAAAGCAGAGGATATCAATTTCACCCACTAATTGCTTAACCCCCACACCTCCTCCCACTTCACTGCTTCAAGCCACTAAGTAACTCCACCAAGCATGAAAGGCCAGAGATCTTAGAATTTGAACAATCTTGCACCGGTGCCTCACACTTATTGATGGAATGGGGATTTATTAAGGCAAATATAGCATGTTCTGTTTCACCAACAGGCACACACCAAGCTGGAATAAAAGGGCATTTTGTGTAATTTATACTCTAATACAAATCTGACCTGTCTTGAGTTAGTGGAAAGAAATGTTGAAATGTTGAAAACTGAGCCTGCCAGTCAGTCAGAACTGAAGAAGTCCTTCGGATGAGGGACGAAACGTCTTCCAGTATCTTCAACCAAGTCCAGTTGCCCTTGATTTTAACCTTCGTTGGATAACTATGACCTGGATGACTGAGAATCTTCATAGACAAAACTGAGACTGTTGCTCAATCAGAGGCTAAGAAGATGCAGAGGGTTGTGTCGCTTGGATCTAAAGTTTAACAGTAATTTCAATCACAAGAGACTTGACCAGAGTGAACAATGATAATTTATTGACATGAGATACATTGAATAAGAAAATATAAAAAGTAATTTGGCAATTAAACTCCATCATGATGCCGTGGTATATAGTGGGGGTAGTGAAGCCGCAGAAGCATAGAAATTCTAGACACTGGGGGTGAAGGAATGAAGAAAAGGATGAGGGTCTGGAAGTGATGAGGAGGACTGTGTCGAACCTGAACTGGGCCTGGATCTGATGAGCGTGTGGTGAATGGGGTGGAAGAGGGCCACAGCAGTTTGTACTGAAATGACAGCTGGCAGCAGAGGAGAGCACAGATTTATATTGTAGTGACTACATGATCTGCTGTGCTAGTCGTGGAAAACTCTGAATGGAAAACGAGGAAATAACGCCCATAGTCAGCTGTTAGAGGACAAGGAGATAAAGAAAGAGTGCTGAATGAGTGAAGCATAGAGATAGATTGTGATAACTTACGCTGAACATCATTGGTCGTTATACAAAGTTAAGGTCATCTAGGGGCATCTGGTGCAGTAAGAACTGTTATAATTATTCAACAACAATATGTTTAAGAAACTTTCTTCAGGCACTCTTAAGAATGTCTACATACAATACAGTATGGGTGTGATCAAAGTTATTATTACCATCATCGAGGACAAAAAACATTTTTCATCTTCACCTCAAGGCATCCTTGATTCACTGCATGTACTGAAAACTTTTTAAACAGGTCCTCAACATTTTTAGATTAATGTCTCCACTAGTTCACCTCATTATTTAACTGGCAGATGGCAGTAAATAGTGAAATGAACTGATTTTGGCTCTGGGTTTTCAAGACCTCATTTATTGCTGTTGTGAAGACAGCTGAGGCACCAAAAATAAGTTTTATAAATCACAGGATGTATGAGCCTTAAACTATAATAATGTAATGCTTGACAAATTGTAAAAGCCTCAGAAATAGTACTCCCAATAAGACAGGACAATAAGATTCTTCAATATTTAGTGTTACAGAGTCTTTGGAATAGTCTAAATGGAAACTTTTTGGGGCACATACATTGTCCCCAAATTAATATACTGTATTTGCAAATCCCAAAAAATTATTACAATTTCCTACGCAAGATATATATATATATATCTCTATATCTATATCTATCTATATATATATATATATATATAGATATAGATATAGATATAGATAACTATTGATAACTGAAAACATGCAATGTCTTTATACATACATTTCAAGCGCTTCTGGAAATTGTAAACAATACAAATAGTGCAAAGAAGTAAGTATTGACTGGATAGTTCCTAGTTCCAGGGAGGCTGCAGGCACAGGTAATGTTTACCACTTCTCTCTGCCGCAGATCAGGAACTCAAAGACTTGCCAGCTCGCAAGTGTGTTTGCCAATAACAATAATTACACCAACCAAAATGACAATTAGGCTGACTGCAAACCTGTCTTTGTTCAGCCCTCCCAGTTACGATGACTGGCCAGCTTGAGTAAACCATAATTTGTTATCAGCTGTGGTTTCAATGCTAAAGATGAAAAGCTGATATTGAACAGTATATATATTTAGCCAGAAAATATTTTAAAATATGTTATAGACTGAACACAGGAAATATTGCGTATTTTGTGTTATTTTCTTTTTGCACAGGCCTTTTTTAGGAAGCAGTGAGATAAGAGTCAGGAAGACATGACATGAAGTCTACTGGGTGTAATAGTGTTTGATCTGGTTGAGCAGCTTTCACCATCACCAAGGACCAAGCCCTAATTGGCAATTAACACATTTCAACAGTCTTTAGTTAACAGCATCTTGCACAATATGAGGGATGTCTGAGATCAGCATTGAAGAGGAAAAAAATATTCTGACCCTATGAATGTTACATCTTAGAACACACTAAATAAAGTCAGACAATCAGTTGGTTTAAAGATGTAATTAACTATAATTACAGCTACCAATCTATGTCATTTCATGTCCTTAATTGTGGATATATTTATTATCAAAAGTATTGGAAGAGAAATTGAGGAGAGAAAAAAGACTCATCAACACTCAGGTGAAAAAAGCATATTTAACACACATTAAATTTCCTTTGGCTGAAATATTTGAATGCTTTAAATACATGGCTCAAACAATCATATGTGAAACTCTGAAAAGCAATTTGCAATCTCTGATTAGTGAAGATAGATTCATTATTTAATGCAAACAGTACTGTTTTGGGAGTTAATTTTCACTGTGGGAACTGGATACATAAAACTGAATGATGTTTGGAAAACCACTGAGGAAAATGTTTGAGGTTTATGGATGACTGAGATAAGGCAACTAATGTTGTCTGGGTGTTTTTAGAGTCCAGTAATAATTGTTTCCAAACTGTCACCCTGTATCCAGTGGGGTCAAATGGTTCTCAAGAAGCATGAAAATGCTACCTTTTTGTCTTCACACGTTTTGTTTTTCAGGAGAAACGTATACATGACCTTGTGCATGTGCCAAAATCCTGCACTGCATGTGTTTGGTGGTGTTCCCACAACACGCCCAACCGTAAACTATGTGACTGTGTGATTATTCTATGATTGTGTTGAAAACTCAAATCAGTCTTTCTGCTCATTGTTGCATAATTCCTATAAACCTCATCTCCCTACATTTACTAAACTCAGACTCCTGTAGCACTGAAATTGCTGGCAGCAGGTTATGATGAAATGGGACAAAAAAAAAAGAGTCAAAATTATCTGTGACATTAAATAATGTTCATGCAGTGGCCCTGCAATAGTCCCATCAGCCAATTTTAGTCACATTTACGATCAAGCTGGACGAGTTAGAGCTTGTGAAAGTTGTTCAAGGGCCTTGGGCTTAATTGCCTCAATCAAAGCACATTTGAAGTGCCACCCCATCCAAGAGGCATGAATCATTTGATAAAAGATCCCAATAAACTGTTGCTGCCAGGCAGCAACAAGAGAGCTAACAAGAAAAAGTGAGTGTGTGTGTGTGTATGTTGTAGATGGTGGGAAACCTACTGGCTGCTGTTTTAAAGAAGGGAAATTTTAGAAATATGATCTAGGTCTGTGGTTTCTTACATTATTGTACACAAAATAATTTCTCCACCAGTTTTGATTCAGTATCTAAATTAATGTATTCTGTGCAAATACACACTTCAAATGCTCGCTCTTTAATCCATGCACTACCACCTCCCTCCCTCCCTGCCAGCTTTAGTAAACACATTTTATTTTGGCTTGGATGTTAATTTTCCTCTTTATTTACACTGCTGTCCTGGCCGAGATTGTTTGCTTTTCTGCAGGTGTTCTCTGAAGCTCTTCACTCCTGTCACACAGCCTTTCATTACCAAAAGGTGGAGAAGCTTGTCGCCACTCAGTCAGATGAAGACAGAGACAGACTGGAACGATGATCTCAGTCTGTTCAGACAGAGAATCAGAAACAAAAAACAGAAGAAATCTTGCCATGTTTACCTTTTAAAATTGGTGAATGCCTTTGTGTTTTTTCTATACATGA